TCCGCGCCCGGCGAGACCAAACTCGCGCCTAGGGCAGCACCAGAAACCCCAAAACATGTTACAACTGATATCGCGCCTGGCGCGGTCCAAGTCACGCCCGGCGTGGGCCATCCAGAGGCTCCCATTCTCAAGCTCGCCCGGCGCACACATCTTTGCGCTCGGTGGGCTTGCCTAAATGGAGCCCCCTGGTGGTCACGCGCCCGGCGCAAAGAACAGCGCCCATCGCGAGGCTCAGCAGCAACCTTCCATTTTCGAAAAACTTCACCAAATCATGCAAAAACAGCCAGAAAACCAACATGCAATCCATCCAAAAGTCCACATTTTCATCAAACATCATGAAAAACACCTCATTTTTAGCATGCAATCACAAATCAAAGAAAATCCCCAAATTTTCACCCCAAGACCCGATAACCTCGAAAATGAGTTTTCTTCCATCTCAACCAAAATCATCCATCATCCAGCAACTAATGAGCTTCTAAAGCCCATTTACCACCAAAAACAGCAAAAAAAAAATATAGCTTCCCTTACCTCATCGGTGCGAAGAAATCCGAGCTTCCGGGAAGGAGAAATAGAGAAGAAGGTTGAAGAAGAGCTTGAACACCCGAAAGAGGAGAAAGGAAGGCTCCGAATGCTCAGCTAGAAATTCAAGACTACTCCACACCACCACCTTGAGTCAGCAAGAAAGAGAAGAACAAGAGAGTGAGTGAGAGTGTACGAGAGTGAGAGTCTTAGAGTTGAGAGGGAGAAAATGAGAAAGAAAGGGTCTCACAGAAAATATTAATTTAATAAATTTTAATACTAAATAAAAAAATTATTAAATAAATTATGAAATTCATAAAATTTGTAACTTTTTTTTATAAATTTTAATCAATAATAAAAAATAGAGTAAGTTATATTATTCTAGAGAGATTAGATATTATATTATCTTATTGTCTTATCCTAAAATATACAATTTAATTAATTTAACTTAACACGATTAAATTAAATTACGTTTTATTTTTTTATTTTACTTAACATATATATAATAACAAATTAAATTATATTTTATTTTTTTTAAGAGTAAGATCATATTTTTACTTAACATATATAATAACAAAAGTTGTAAATGTATATATTTTTTCGTTATTCCTTGGATTTATATGTTAGTTTAGTACCATTATGCTCAATGGAAAATCATATAGGTCTTTGCAAAATAACAAGTCCTCTGCCTAACATTTTCAATTTTACATCGTGTTCAGCAAAGAGGAAAGAATTAAAGATAAAAAAATAGATAAAAATAGAATTAAAAATATTATTTAATAAAAGAGAAATATTTTTTTATAAAGAAAATGTTTAAAATAATAAATATTTTTTTATACAAAATATATTTTTTAATATACATATAATTATAATAAATGTGATAGGTCTTTTCGTGTACATATTTTTTGGACTTTTTTTTAATCCTTTTATGACAATTTCTAATTTATATAAATTTCAGTCTCTAAATTTTTCGTACATCATAAGTAATATTTTTTTAATACCATTTATTTTATATAATAATTATTATTTATTATTTTAAAATTAATTCACATACAAAGTGTGTTTTGTAGGTTAGTGTATATATAAGGATAATCAATAATACTTGTACATATAATGTAATCATTATAGCATAATTTTATGAAAAGAAAATGGATATAAGCATAATAATAAATAAGGCACCGGTGCAGCAATTTTAACTTCACGTACTTCCCCTCATTTAGATGGGCAAGTTTTGGATGGTGGACCCCACAAAAACTTACTCACGTCACGTTTCTCTTCTGACATCAAAATTTCAACTTTTTTACATTTTCCGCACTTTTTATTTTTCTTTTTCTTTTTTACTTCTCCTTTCTCAAACACAATGTTAGTGTGTTCATAATGTGTTTGCAAGACATTTCCCACATTTCAAGGCTACAAATGAACAAAGTAACAATACTAATTGATTGAAAAAAACGTGAATTGTATGTATTCTATTAATAATAATTTTATATAAATATAAATAATAGGACACATAACAAAAATTTATAATCAAATTTTTTATTAATCAGATTGGGGAGTTCATCGAATGTTTCGGGTTTATAAATATAATGCAAATCTCTCAGTTAACACCTTTTTTGTTAGCTAATAAAATGGGATTGACTCACATTCATTTTCAGATTTTGCTCCTGCTTGTTAATCATTTAGATGTACTCAACAAAACACATGTTGAGAAGAGAGAAGTGGATAGAAAAAGTAGTTTTATGTTGTTGTTTATGTTGTTGTTTTAGGAATAAAAAGTAGAGAAGAGATAAAAGAAGGGTGTGTTCCATCTCAAAATAAATTCTCTCCTATAACGAGAAGAAAATAGATAATTAATTAATAAAAATGTGGGTCTCATTATAAATTACAAATTTAGTCTCATTATTATCAATTTGGTAATTTTTTTTAAGTATTTATATTTTTTACTTACTTTTTTTTTAATTTTTATAATTAAAAAAATATATTTTTAGTCTATGTATATTTTTCAATTATTTTTAGTTTTTATAATTAAAAATAAATCTTTTTAATTTTTGTACTTTTAATCTCTATTATTATTATTATTTTTGTAACATTGTCTTTTTTGTATTAAGTTGAAAGAAGTATTAATTTAAATTTGTATATCTGATATCAAATTTATTTTATTAAAATTATTTTAAATTAAGTCTATCAATATTTCGTGTTTCTTTTGTATTCTTATAATATTCATTATTGATATAATATTTTTTTATTTTATAAAATTAAAAATCTCTACCACGACAATACAAAACAAACAATATTACAAAAAAAAATTAACAAAAAAATAAAAATAAAAATAAAAACTGCAAGTAAACAAACTAAACAAATATTTTAACTTAACTATTTATATAAGATCTATTATATATATA